TGCCCCAACAGACCTACATACTCCACTTCCCAGTCTAGCAAATTCCTCCTACATAGGGGAGTCCAAGTAAAGGAGCCCCCAGAGGTACTAATGTTATCAGCAACTGAAGAATCTTGATTCACTGCAATTTGGAACAGCCGGGGAAAAGCATCAGCCAAGGGGCCTTCCTCACACCAGGAATCGTTCCAAAACTTAATTCTATCCCCTTTTCCAACTTTAAACTTGACCCCGTTCATGAAAAGAGTACTGACCTTAGAAATACCAGCCCAGAGAGAGCTACCCCCAAATGAATATCCATCATCATCCCATCTTTCTTAAATCTGGCCTTCTATCAATCTATGATCTATTCTCTACTCTCGAAATGAAAGATCAAGGTGTCATTCTTATACTTGCTTTCCAACAGAGTGTATAGTTATTGAAATCTGTGCTTTGGGTATCTTGAGTCGGCTTAAGATTCGGTAGACATCAACATATTCATTAATGTGAATTTATAGAAGTGGTATTTTCTTATGCAAATTCATACATTTCTGAGAGGTACAATTTGGTAAGTGCAGTTTCAGTTTTAAATTAAATATTTCAGCTCAACCATATTATGATTATGTTTTTTGTTTATTTACTTCTTTCATGTTCGTCGGACTTTCCAACTATAGCCTTTTGCTTTCAAATTTAGTATATATACTTCGATAATTCTTTTCGAGCAAGGCTTTTCAGAAAGGAATATCTTGAGTGTTTCCTTTTCTCTTGCCAGATGGTGCTTTCTTGATCTTGATGACAACTCTCTGGATAATGGTTACTACAATCTTATAATGAGGGGAGGGAAGTCCAGTGATCTAAAGACGGTAGAAAACTACAAGCCACCACCCACCAAGAAGTCTCGAAGAGAGCGTAACCGTGAAAAGTTGGTTGAAACTGTTGGTTCCACTGAAATAATGGAACAGCAGATTTGGAAAGAATTCCCTGAGGACCTGTTTGAAGCTGTTATTGCAAGACTCCCCATAGCAACATTCTTCCGTTTCCGTTCAGTTTGCCGGAAATGGAATTCCTTGCTGACCTCCCATAGTTTCTCTCAACATTGTGCTGAGGTGCCACAAGGCCATCCCTGGTTCTATGCCATAACTCATGAAAATGTCAACAGTGGAGCCATGTATGATCCTTCTACAAAGAAATGGCACCACCCGTCCATCCCTTGTCTGCCTACAAAGATAATCATCCTCCCAGTGGCTTCAGCAGGTGGTCTTGTATGCTTTCTGGATATTGGTCATAGGAACTTCTACGTATGTAACCCTTTGACTCACTCATTCAAAGAGCTGCCTGCAAGATCAGTCAGGGTCTGGTCTCGTGTGGCAGTTGGGATGACTCTGAATGGGAATAATTCCACCAGCAGGGGCTACAAAATCCTCTGGGTTGGATGTGATGGTGAGCATGAGGTCTATGATTCAGAGAAGAACACTTGGACCCGTCCAGGAAGCATGCCGTCGAACATCAAGCTACCCCTGGCACTGAACTTCCGGTCACAGGCTGTATCAATTGATGATACACTATACTTCATGCGTGCTGATCCAGAAGGGATTGTATCCTATAATATGACTAGTGGGGTTTGGAAGCAGTTTCCTATTCCGGCACCACCCCATCTGACAGACCATACCCTCGCAGAATGCAGGGGTAGGATCTTGCTTGTTGGGTTGCTGACAAAAAATGCAGCAACATGTGTTTGCATATGGGAGCTGCAGAAGATGACACTCTTGTGGAAGGAGGTTGACAGAATGCCAAATATCTGGTGCTTGGAATTTTATGGAAAGCACGTTAGGATGAATTGCTTGGGTAACAAGGGATTGCTGATGCTGTCTTTGAGGTCGAGGCAGATGAATCGTCTGGTTACCTATGATATCGCAAGCGGGGAGTGGCGGAAAGTTCCAGGTTGTGTGCTCCCACGTGGGAGGAAGCGACAGTGGATTGCTTGTGGCACAGCGTTTCACCCGTGCCCAACTGCTTTGGCCTGATTTTGCCTTTTCATGTAGCTTTCTTTAGCTTGCAGCAGCATCGGTTCGAAATCCAAAGTGGATATTATTCCTATCATCAATTGTGGATATTATTAGCAACGCCTCTCTCTCTCTCGCTCTTTCTCTCTTTCTCTCATTCTCTCTCTGCCAAGTTAATTATATGACCTTGCTCCAAGTTTTTTGTATTTTGGGATTTTCATTCTACCTTTTAGGTTAGGTAACGAGGATGCAGATGATGACTTGGTACCAATTACGTGGTTCAGCTAACCCTTCTTTCCATGGCTTGATACCAATTACGTGGTTCAGCAGGGATGCCAACAACATGAATTTTGCCCTGCTTGTTCTGTGCCCTGGGGGCGGAGGGTAGCGGTGGCAATTGGGCGGGTTGGGTTGGGTTTGGTTTGGATTGAGCTTCAACCCAATCCATTTAACCCGCCAACCCGTTAATAACCCAATTATATAAAATTAAATGGGTTGTGTTCAATCCAAACCCGTTTTAACCCAATCCAACTCGTCCAAACCCATTAATCTTATATCTATGTACTTAAAATAAAAAATAATTCCTTCTTAACAAATAAGTTGGTCATAGCTTGGTGACATAGTAGTTGCTATTTATATAAGTGGTGAAGGTTCAAATCACATTAAATGCATGTTATTTTTACACAAGCAACAAAGTCATTTAATTATGTTCGTTTTGGATTTGACGAACCACTTAGGTTCAAATTGGTCAGACCAACTTGAACTATTTAATTGGGTTGTCTTTGAGCTAATCACATCAAGAGTGGTTGAATCGTTTAGATCCGGATCAATGGTGGATTGACTTGGGTTGGTTCATGTTAGGTTTGTGCACGGGTTTGGGATCGAATTGATTGGCTCGAAGTGGGTCAAGAGAAGTAAACCAGACCAGGCTAGATCCGGCTCGGGTTGTACGGATACAAATCAAACTGGATGATCCAAATTGGGCAAAGCAAGCAGGCTGGGTTAGGGTTCGGACCCACTCGGCCTGATCAGTTTCGGATTCGGGTCGGCCCGTATTGGTTTGTGCGGGTCGGGTTGACCTGTGTGAAGAGTGAGTGGACCAGACGACCCAAAGCGAGCAAAGCAAGCAGTATCAAACCACCCCGTTCGGGGTATATTTTAGATTCGGGTCGACCCGGATCGGTATATGTTGGATCGTGTCAAACCACGTTGAACTGATTCGGACTTGGGTCAAATTGATTTGGATTTATGTTGGGTGAAATGTGTTGATTCAAGACAAAACTAATTTCAATCAATAATTAATAGAAAATTAATGCATTAATTATAAATTATTTAATTCAAATGAAGAAAATTAAAAAAAAGGCTAAAGAATTAATACTTATGCTTGTGATGGCTAACCCAATGGTTATCCACAACCCAACCCAATCTAACCCATTTAAATGAGTGGGTTGGGTGATGGGTTGATCACACAACCCGCCAAGTAAATGCAGGGTTGGGTGAAAAATTGCCACCCCTAGTGGAGGGGGGCCAACCGTTGGATGAGAAATGAGGGGAAAGATGAAACTTACATAGAAAAATGTATTCAGTGTGCAGATTTCTGGACCATAGGCATGACTCCCTTGGAACTGGTGCCGTTTCTCCAGTGCAGTTTTTTTTTTTTTTTGAGAAAACGATGTTACATATTTATGCCGTTTTTTCAAAAAAACATTTTTTATTGTTTGAGCCTGTTGCTGCCAATAGGTGTTAGTAACAGTAGCAAAACGAGAAAACGTCAAAAAGAATGTTTTTTCTTTTCTTTTTTTTTTTTTTTTTTTTTTTTTTTGAGAAAACAGCATCTGTTCCGAAACATCAACTTTTCACTTCTCACAACGTACGGGTGCAAGCAGGGCAGGTTAGATGGGGTTGATCCTAATTCTAACCCAACTTTTTAAAGTGTTTGGTTTCTTCTTCATTTCATCCTGTTAAAATATGGTTACATCTTAGAATTAAAGTTGGCTATCCAAGATTGACAGGCTAGGCTGTCATGTCAACAGGGCAATCCAAGGCTTGGTTGCTCGGATAAAAGAGTAATTACAATAGAGGAAAAATTCACGATCAGTATTCTGTATTTTGACTCGAGTGATAATTTGGTGCCCAAACTTTAAAATACGACAATCCAGTATCTGAACTTTCAAAATGTGACAATTCAATACCTAGACTTTTAAAATGTGACAATTCAGTACCTATCGTTAACCAGTCCGTTAATTAGCCGTTAAGTGATATTTGAAAAGTAAAAAATGCCCTAAGAATGCCATATAATTCTCTTTATCAACCATCCAAACATTGTCAATAAAATGAATAATCTCAAATTCTAGATTCTTCTAAATAGTCACAAACTTTTTTGAATAGAAGAGGCTAGGATTTGGGACTGTTCAGTTTTTTGTCAACATTTAGATAATTGATAAAATGAATTAGATGGCATTCAAAGGACAAATTTGACTTTTCAAATATCACTTAATAAATGATTAACAAACTGGTCAATGACAGATATTAGATTGTTACGTTTTGAAAGTTTAAATACTAAATTATCGCATTTTAAAATTTGGGTATCAAAATGTGACTCGAACCAAATTACAGGATACTGATCTAGAAATTCCCCCTACAATAAAAATAGCCCAAAATTTATTTACCAGATCACCACACTTTTTCCTATCAACTTGGTGCAACTATCGGTGCCGATTGCTGAATGCTGTTGGGTAAACTAACGTGTCACAAGTAGCAAGTAGCAACCATAGTAGAATCCTGGATTACTGAAAGCAAAAATTATGTGAACACCCTAAGAATACAGCATCTGGCCGTATATTTAAAATATCTTTTGTGCACGTATTAAATTCATCAGGAGATATCCCTGAATGTGCAACTAGATGCTATGCTCTGGGTGTGTATGGTTTTTCCTTTCAAGGAAAAACTCTCATAGTAACATGATATTTGGCATTTTTTTTTTAAATATAATGTATCCCACGAGTCATCATAGTTATACATATCGGTATGATACGCTTTTGTATCAGGTGATATCAGTGGATACAATCTAATACACACTAATACAAAAACATATCAGTCCCTAGTTTGATCAAACTGTATATTGACTATTTTTAAATTGTTTTTGAAATTTAATAAAAATTAAAAATTATAATTATGAAAAAATAAAATAAATAATTTAAATTTTCCAAAAAATTAATGGGAACTAAAATTATAAAAATAATTTATTTTTTCTACCTTAAATGATTTATATGTTTTACTTTACATATAAATTATATATTAAAAATAAAAACATATTTATTATTTCATAAAATAGTTATTATTTATAAGTACCAAATCAATAAAATTCCTGAATATGCAAAGTGTCAACCAGCTGGTCGGTAAGGTATCCTACTGGTCGTAGAAGAGACTTGAGATCGAATCCTGCCTATACCTGGGTTAGGGATGGGCTACCCCCCATTATGTAACCCTTCAGAAGATATCAAAAATAAAATAAAATTCCTAACAATTTAACAAACATTGAAAATTATAAATGATAATTATTGTATGATCATGTACATATTTTAGAGTCGCACAAGAACCCTAGCCAAATCTTACTACAACTGTACAAAACATTTTCCATAATTACATGTTAACCTTCATGGCGAGATGCTTTACAATTGTAGTGTCATTTGAGTAAGTGTGGGTATATATTAATTGATTAAAGAGTGCATTTCTCATGTGTTTATATCTCATTTCCAAAAGTCTAAGTTTGCTCTTTATAGGATGCTCCTCACACCAACCTCAAGAGGTTGTTATTTATGACAGTGTTTTCAAAACTGGATCAAATATTTGGACCAGAAAAACCAGGAAAGTGATCATTTTACCCCAAAACCAATTTTGACCAAAAACCGTTGATTTGATCAACAAACCACTGACCCAAGTGGTCAAACCATTGACCCAAACAACTTTTGGCTGTTTTTTGCTTTTTTAATTTTTTTTGTCAGTGGGTTATCCATTCAGATCGAACAGTCAAACCATTTGACCCGGGAACTGGACCCCAAAACAGCCCCTTATCTGGTCTGATTTTAAAAACCTTGATTTATGGAAAAATGTTCCCAATGCACAATGGGATGTGCTATGAAGTCAATGTTAAAAGTACTATGTGAAAGAACAAATCCCGATTCTATTAACTGATAATTCAACTTTAGATTTACTATTATTAGTGTAATATACAATTTATATGCATTTCCCTAATATATCCACGCACTTTGATATCTTTTGTCCATATCAATGTGTTTCCAAAATGCATCCATATCCAAATTGTTTGATATAATACTTTTACCCTGATGGATTCTCTTGTCATGCCATTTATTCCAATTGCCAAAAACTAATGCTTCACCCGTCAGCCCTACTTCACAACTTCGGATAGCAAAGAAAATGCTAAAATACTCGGAGGGAGAAGGCCATCCCTATTTCACTAGAAGAGATGTTCAATTTAAAACTCATTTTTAGAGAATCATCACATTCACTTGGAAAATATAAAAGGTTCCTAACTGCACGTCATCTTCTCAAACAAAAAAAAGGACAAAGAAGTTGCTACCCTTCTCAAGTGAGGTGTATACATGCAGAATAAGCGCCGTTCGCATGTATTTCTCTCTTTTCACATGATTATCAGTCGTGATATATTGTTGCCTCTAGTATCGAACATCTATGTCACCTGCAGTTCTCATGATCAAAAAATTATACAGTCAAACTAAGCTCCAGCCGATAGAACAACACATTTCAAGTGCAAAAGAAAGACTTTTCCAAGCCAATGTACAACGGAAGAACTAAGAACCCGGATGAACTGAATCATCTTAAAGTTGTTTTTCTGGTCTAATTAAATTAACTTTTCATGTAGGACTCCTGACAAACCTTTGAAAATAAAAGTTGCAAGTGGTAGTGGGCCTAGAACATTTCAATGTGTTCTGAAGCCGCACATAATCTGGTTATGTTCCATCGATGGTGCAGCAGCTTTATCGTAGCATTTGCATTTGTCTACCGTTAAATATAGTTCATCATAATTTTATTACAACTAAATTCACAGCTATTCTATATGCAACGACATAACATCCAATGGCTCATGGCTATTAAGTCTTAATGCTTTGTAGTTTGTACCATCACGTATTTGGTCAATACTCTGTCACATTTGGAACTGTAAGAAATTACTCCTATGAGGTTATGAGAAGCCCAAAACCTAACTAGATGTACACTTGTTCCTTTTGTTTCAAAATAAAATTTGGACAATTGATGATACCATTCAGAGACGAAATTGAACATCAGAACAACCCTTTCTCTCAAACACAAGAATTTAATTTTCTTTATGCTTCATAAAACATAATATCAGAACCACAAAAAACATGCCTTTGAAAACAGATGTTCAAGAACATGTTTCTGGTTTCCTTTTGAAAAACAGAAAACACTACACAATCAAAAACGTGCATTTTGTAGTTCAATTATAGGAAATTACTGTATTTCTTTTCAAGCCAACTGCGTGCCCCAATTTTGTTGAAATAAAAATAGAGTTTTTTTCACAACTTATTCATGACCGACCACTTCGGTGTATCCTCCTGCGTGGGATTAGTGATTTTTTCCCTAAAACAGTTGAAACAGAGCTTCTGACTTTCAGAAAAGGAAAAAGTGAAGCTTCATTTGTTCCCTTTTCAAAGTTTTAGACTAGGTTTCCTGTTAGGCTCTTGTGATAAGATCGAATTATTCTTTATCTAATTTGCCCATTGTCAGTTTTCTACATCCAATAACCATTATTACTGATTACCGAAATTCCAATTTGTCAACATTGGGGAATTTTGGCCTGCCTTAGTAAGATGATCATAACCTGTCCCCAGGCAGTTAAATTTTAAATTGTTAACGCCATCAGAGCCTGTGGCGAACTTGATTAAGGAAAAAATGGGATAATTCTTAATTTTTACAGTTAGCTCAGATGTCCTTACAGTAACCCAGAAAATATAGAATGCACTAGTTCCCTTTTCGCAACACAACTTATCGGATTGAATAATACGAGAATTCATTGCATGCAAATGTTTTTTAATTGTAAACACCAAATATCCTACGCAAAAAAAAAAAGACAGCTAAAAATAGAAAATCGAGCTTGGATATTTACCTAACCGGACCCAACGATAATATTGTTGATGGGGATGAAGATCAGCTTCACAAAAAAGCCTACAAAGCCCATCACGACGAAGCCGATAGCGGTACGGAATGCGACCTTCGTAAATTCTACTCGAATGAATTCAATTTCCAAGAATCCGAACGAAGAATCAAATAACAAAGATCAGATGAAAAACCAGAAATGACAAAAGAAGAAAGAAAGAAAACCGTAATGGAGAGATCGATGATAGAATATACCTTTCCGATCGGGCTTGTGGCATCTCTTGACGAGGCGAACACTGTCCTTGGCAAAGTCTCTCAAGGGATCGACGACCGAATCCAATGCATCCATTTTGGTTAGGTTCAGAAAGAGAAGTATTCAATGTTAGAAGACTGGAGAAAACCTAGATCTGAACCCGCGACGAACAAATCGGCAAGAAAAATATCCCCTCCCTCTAAATAGAGAAAGAGAGAGAGGGAGGAGGGCAAGAACGATGACTTACACCAATGAAAATTTGCCACATCATAACTAGCCACGTCATTTTAAGACCAGCGAACCAATCACCGCGGACCACTTGGTAAAGATCCAATGCAAATTATCGGTCGCGGACTCTCCTTCTCTTAACCAACCGAAATACCGAATGTTAGCTCGTTGTCGTTGGTGTGTCAACTGCTTTGTTCCTGCGATAACGCGGAATCGATCCCTCAACCAGCACTTTGGGGATATTGGGGTAAGGGAAAATGATTAATGGTGCGGGTTTGCAGAGGCATAATTATTAATTAATACTGATTTATCTCCATGACCCAATTTGATTTTTTGAAATCCTAATTCTAACTTTAACAAAATTCATTTATTTCCTATATCAATTCAATTTGTTTGAATTGGATTTTTGAGGTGGAACCTCGAATTAAAATGACTTATTTACTAGTCGGATAAAACAATACTTCAATCTTAACTTAGCCCGGAATTTAATAGGGTTTATATTTTTTAACTTTAACCTTTATAGAAACTTTAAACCTAATTTTCTGATTGGATTTTATTTGTAATTTACCACTCATAAATACACATTAAAAATTTTAACCTAGTCTCCATTCTCCATTCTTCCTCAGAAAACTCCTGGCTCTGCCACTGAATACATCAACGTTTGCAATAAATTTAAGGCATCACATTAATTATTTTGTTTTTAATTTCAATATCTTATACCAGTCCCAATTGTTCCCATTACTTACAATTTGGACAAGCAAAAATGCCGCTCTAACAACTCTCTCATACTTAATTGCATACAAGTTCAAAATCTAATACGCAGCATTGGATTAAAGGATCTCCTCCAACCAAATAATGTGATTCAATTTTGTTTTTTTCTGGATCGGCAATAATAGTGATTTTTACACCCTACCTCGGCCCAAATTTATTCATCCAAACCTATAACTATCGAGCAACTCCAGGCCCAAATTAAGCACATCATCTGTCAGGTTTGATATCACTGATATGTGATCTGTAAAATTAAGCTGTGCCGTGTCAGGTAGAACATGACAATATGGTCGTGTTGGGCTTAGGTTTCCAGGCCTATGGGCTGACACGATACATGGCCCGACACAATCCAGTATGCAGCACGGCCCATATATATAATTTTTATTATATCATTTTATTTGAATTGTAATTAAAATTCCTATAAAATAATTTTTTAAAGTGTTTTTTTTCAATTTTGTCTATTTTCTTAATTTATTTTAAAATTTTCATTATTTTTAAAATATATTCCTTATGAATTGACCTGATCCAAGGCTTAGCCCATGACACATCACAGTTTGGCCCCGACCCTCATAGGCCCATGGCCCAGGCCGTGCTAGGACAGACATCTGAAATATCCAAAAGATAACAAGCACGGCCCGGCCCGGCCCGCCCTATGGGCCATGCCGACGCAATTTACAGCTCTATGATCACTGCCAGAAGGCCCAACTTTACAATTCAATTTCCATCAAATTTAAAACTGTTTTCTTGGCCGAATAGTAGTAATTCAAAAAAGATCCGTTACTTATCCACTGATTCCACCGAAGAAGACCGCATAATGAACCTTGAAACCCAGATAGAATCTTTGTATCACATATAATAACGAATTAATAACAAAGGTGTATCGTCGCATATGAGCAAGTAAAAATTCACGTCTAACTGATATAATTACGATTACACTACTACCGGTTGGTCCAAGCCGTGTGGGATGCTTCTTTTACTGGAACTAAAGCTGGCGGTGGGTTACTTTGAGGACCACTCTCGCTCCTAAATTTTTGTAAGTTTGGATTCTAAATCGGTGGTAGAAAGTGAGTCCTTAGCTTTATTAGAGGCACTACGATTTATTAAGATTCTCTAGCTGAATAAGATTCTGATTAAGGGTGATGCTCTTGAGGTTATTAGGTTTCTGTTGTGGAACTCAACCCCTTCTTGGCGTATCAGACTTCTGATTGCAGGGTGCAGAGAGATCCTTTTGCCCCTCTGAGATAAGACAGCGCATGAATTGGCTAAACATGCTCTGTCTCTTAATAGCATGCATACCTGGTCCTCAGCCCCAGACTTCCTTGTAGATATCTTAGCTGAAGGCACTTCTTCCTATGGTTAATGGATTGAGTTTGTGGTGTTGCCAAATTGGCGTAAAAATAATATAATTACGATCATGATTTTAAATATGAATGTCTATTAAACCAACGTTATCACAACATTTGAGGTTGAATTAGAAAGAAATGATTTCGGGGCTCATAATTTAATAATGCACATATGCAAATAAATAGTGAGCAAATTGAAGAGTGGCTGAACAACGTTATGTAACCGAGCCTACATAGTAAAAAGGATAAGGTTTTGTTGAATTGTGTGTTGGGTTTTAATCTCATTAAAGATTTAATCTATTGGGTGTTTGATTGATTAATTACATAATTAATGACATTCACACTTGCACTTTAAACATTGGTTTTAACGTCCAACAGAATTCTTTGTTTTAACTTGTTTTCTTCTTTTTTAAGTCTCTTATCTCACATTGGAAAATTATTAAATTTAAATTGAATTTTTAAAAAGGAACTTGTTTAAACTCTTTAGAATTAGATAGAGGAAAGCATAGAGAATTCCGATCGTGCAACATGTGTGCATGTGCGTGTGGTACAATTAGACACACTTTGTGGGCGTGCGTGGTTCGCAAGAAGCGACTATATTTTTAGTGTGATGAGAAGATTTATGATGTATGAAATTACATACTAAGATTTTGCGAAATCGCAAGTCACTTACGGAGTAAAATCACAAATCGCAATTTGTGAAATTGCAAAAGAATACAAGTTGCGACTCAGAAAAACCACATCCAAATTTGAATCTCACATAAGAGTGTGTTTGGAAGCTGAACCATAGACTTTGATGTTTAAGTTAATTCACTAGTCATGACTTGATCGGGTGTGTTCAAAGGACATTATTCAAATGTTAATAATCACTAACTGTGAACAACTATAAAGTTTGAAATTGTGACAATACAAGAAGACTCCTCGAACCAATACATTCTTTCTCAAAGATGACTCTCCATAATCTATAAAAGGATGTAAAACAAATGAATAAAACACAGTTTTTCACTTAATTTTCTCATTGAAAAACACTCTTGTTTCTTTCAATCCAATCTACTGCTGTCTCACATAAGGTTTCATTGGAGAATCTTTAACTTTGCTGGTTGCAATTTTTCATCCAAGACTCTGTTGTATTCTGATAATGAATTTACTTATAGCCCAACAACAAACTAAATAAAACTGAGTGAGAATAAATAACGTCCTAAAAACATGTCTTTGATACACCTCATAGTTTCTCATCCACATTTTTGTAACATTTTGCAGTAACACAATTGTTTTGAACGATTTTCCTTAATAACGTGCGACATTGTTCACAAATGAAACTAATACTGTCCTATCCAGTATACTCATAAGAAGTTGAAGCTAGCTAGTTGGGGAAACCATCAGAGTGTTAGAGCTCAAACCAGACCAAGAACTAAATATCTGAATAGCAGTTTTGCGTCACTCAGCTCCTTAACAAGGAAAATAAGAAGAAATAAAGCCGACCATTACAAACATCTTTTGACGAAGTATATTCAAAATGGAGGGTCACATGATGGAGAAGTTATTTGTTTAAAAGTGTGAATGGAAATAAATTTAATCTTTACACAGATAAATTGAAAACCCCCCAAAAAAGTGAAAATTAAAATTTAGAAAGATAAAGGAAAAAAAAGGCATAAATTGTATGGTGGAATCTTTCTAAGTGGCAAAACTTATTGGATAAATAACTGTTGATGACTGTTTGGTGAAAAAAGTGTATTAGGAATAGTACAAGTATTTTGAAAATTATGTGGCAAACCAGGGAACTTGAAAAAAATCCAAATTGAGTCCATTTCCCCAAAAGCATTTATTCAGGCTTCTTTTCCCAAAATGTATATAAGTGTTTATTAATTTGGTCCTAACCTAAAATAAGTGATTATAAATAAGCATACCCAAATGGGGGCTAATATTTTTTAATTTTTTTAATTTTTTTGTCAGAACGAGTTGTTCGTTCGACCCAAGAACCGGACCCCTGAATGGTTTGTTGTCCGGTTCGGTTTTAAAAACCTTGGTGAGAACATTGACAGGTGATGACAGGATTCATAAGTGGAAATACTATATCCACTTCCGCTGTGTTTGGGTAAAATTATATAGTGCGTGCTTGGTTCCGTGGCCGTTTATGGGTAAGCCGTTTATTTGTACTTTTTCACTTTAAATATTTTTTATTTTAAAAGTTTCTTGTTTTTGTTGTTTGGTTGGGCTTCACTTTAAACGTTTTTTATTCTCCACCTCAAATTAATACCCACTAAAATATGTCACATCAGCATTTGGTTTCAGGAAACGTTAGAGCGTTGGGGGAAACAAGAATTTAACGTTTCTCCGAATGCTTCATGCATAAAAATTAAAGCATTTCAATTTTCTAAAATTTATTTAATAAACGGTGAAACCAAACAGTTATTTCGTTTTGCTTCATATGCAATAAATGCCAATGATGACATTTTTTCAATAAACACCCATGAAACCAAACACATCCATAAGCCTACTTTGTTTTTGCATGCCCTCCTTCAACATATACGTACAGTTGCTCAAAAGGTTATTTTTGTTTTAAGCTCATATATAACTAGGAAAATTCATTCTAATCAACAAATTGGGTCAAGGTTAATTTAATAAAGAACTTTTTTTTTTGGTAAAAACATTTAAAAAAAACTAGATAGTAGATTGGGTCAAGGTGTCTATATTTGATCCAGTCATACATAAAATTATCAAACTCATATTGGATGACATTAGAATTCTAATTAATTCGGAAAAAAATAAAAGCTGTCTGTAGTCTAACTTGGGAGATGGGGGCCATCAGGCCCTAGCCCCCACCAAAGTTTTGAAAGCACCTTTATTTGATTTCTATGTTAGGGGTGATGGAGGTGATTCCATTTCCGTCGTAGTATAATACAATGTGTGAAAATTTTTATACAATGGGCTGCCCAAATAGAAAATTTTTAAGGCTGCATTTAGAAACAATGCAAATATGTGTGAATGCAAATGTGTAGAGTGTAAAACTGTTCATATAAATTCTAAAGTTAGGTTAGTATTGTATCGACAAATTTATCTCCTTATCAAATAGACTTTTTAGCTGTAATGGATGCAAACATGAATTTCAATAAAGCATATGCTTTTTTTTATCAAAAGTTTACTTGAATGCAAGTTTACTTCTTTTTTGTTAATGTGCTTTTACATCTTATTATCAATGTAAATATGCATTAGTCTGTCATTTGTCAATGCAAAAATGTAATGTTGCCAAACACAAGAAAAAGTGAACCAAAGTACAAATTTACCCTGAACCAGGACTTACACTCCATTTGCATCTTTTTCAAACGCAGCCAAAGAAAATTTATCATCATCATCATCATCATCATCATTATCATGATTGTAGTTGAACTAATAACCATTTATTTCTAGTTAGGCTGTGTTTGGAAACAATGCAAATATATAGAGTATAAAATGGTTTATATAAATTGTAAAGTTAGATTAATTTTGCACTAACAAATTTACCTTCTTACCAAATAGACTTTTTAGCTGTAATGGATGCAAACATGAATTTCAATAAAGCATATGCTTTTTTTTTATCAAAAGTCTACTTGAATGCAAATTTACTTCTTTTTTATTGGTGTAATTTTACATCTTATTATCAATGTAAATATGCATTTATCTGTCATTTGCCAATGTATAAATGTAATGTTGCCAAATACAGGCAAAAATAAACCAGAGTGCAAATTTACCCTGAACTGTGATTTACACTCTATTTGCATCGTTTCCAAACGCAACCTTATAATCTATACGTGAAGTGACAAAAAAGGGGCCAATGTGGTCAACAAACTCATCCTATCTCACCTGCTTTGTGTTGTTTCAGCCCAATAAGTGGCCTCTTTCACATGGTAAATGGGCTGAGTTTTATGGACCAGTTGGTTTGTTTGAGGAAGAAAATAAAGACAAAGTTTGAAGACTATGTTGGTTCAATTAATATTTCAAATGTAGAACTGTGATGTGGACAAATGAACCCGCCATACATTAATTAATTGAAAATCCAGTAATGGACGGTTTGCTACGCTAACTCCTCCAGTAACAAGAATTAATCGGAGTCATCACTGACTTTTTCCAAAAGTTATTATATATTATTATTCAGAAAGTTGCAAATATATATAATTAATTTGTAATTTTGTATAGGTTATTGGGTTTGCTAATTAAGGGGCCGTTTGATAACAGCTGATCACTGAATGTAGGTGAGAATTTGGGGGGAATCAGAACTGAAATTTTTGAAGGCAGACTGAGAGCTAGGAGCCACCACAAGAGCCGGGTGCACAGGTAGTATATACATTTATGGTACTAGTGGCTTTCACAAAAATTATTCCATTGAACCTACCTTAGATATGATTTTGTAGTCTGGCAGGTAGTACTAGAACATGGATCGATGTTATTATAAGGCAATATATATGGATCTATTAATTAATTGTCTCTTCTCTATAAAGCGTAAAATAATAAACAAATACAGTTAGTGGTGATCGATCAGAATTTTGAATATATTTGTTGAAGTGTCACATTCAGCGACTGCAGCATCATATTGCAGTTGCAGGTTCAAATTCTTAGCAACGGTGGCGTAGTGATAGAGAATACTTCACCACATCTCTCCGGCCGGCCGGCCGGCCGGTCCCCTTGTTTAATTAAAGGTATATATCTTCTTTGTTTTAAATTATTGGTCGTAGTTGGTGGTTCTATATATATATATATATATATATTCTATTGTATTGTATTTAAGAGATAGGGATGAATGGTAGATCTAGGAATTATATTAGATGATGGAGATCGATCGGTAGCATATATAACCGGCCATTAACCAAGCTCTCTAGCTAGTACTAAGCCATTGGACATGGAGGAGGTAATACGGTTGTATGTGACCTTGTTAGTGGTGTTAATGGGGTTGGCGGGGAGAGGAGAAGGACAATTAGCGGAGAACTTCTACGCATTCACTTGCCCAAACGTCGAAGCCATAGTTAGACAGACGGTGTCGACCAAGTTCAGCCAGACCTTCACCACCATTCCCGCCACTCTGCGGCTCTTCTTTCATGACTGCTTCGTCGAGGTAGGTGGTTGTTAATTTTTAACTCTTTTAATCCTTCTTCCATTGAGGAACCAAAAGTTCACCGTCTGTCCAATATTAAGCCGATGAAAGCAAACATGCATGTAGAGAGTTGCAGTTTATTATATACGATAGATTTGCAGATTGGAGAGGCTTAAATAAGGCCTTAAGGGTGGTGATCGGTGTGGGGGGTGGCCTTCCCTTTTTGTTCTGTTTATATGGGTAGTATGTATATTTCTTAATTTTCTCTCTGAAACCTAAGTACATAAGTGTGATATTGGAAGAATTTTGACCAATCATCAGAAACCCTTTAATTCTTGACGAATGCTGGTTGATCAGTTTAAGGCTTCGTGTAGGCTCCCTTGGCAAACGGCACGTATGTATGCTATGATCATGGTCGCAGCACTTTGTAGAGACCCCACTGAAATATGGGCAGGTCAGTGATGGACTTTCCATACATGACTAGAACTGGGTTTAATTCAATAGTGGGGCGGCATAGGAGTTCTGCAATAACCACAGTCTCAGTGTACTCCCCACCTTAGCACAACGACTTGATATCTCAGACTCGGGATCTCCTACCCAAAAGACTTCTATCCACGCACGCCTACCCACAAAACACTATATCTGTGTATTGGGAATGCATTGAAAATACCTCCCCGTGCATAATAATATGTAAGAGGATGGGATGTTTCTCATTTGTGGCTGTGTGAGGTTATATGGGCAGGTATAGGTAGAGTGGTTGTGGGTAGGAAACCCAGATTCTTTTGATAATCACAAGCAACGTTAACGCAGAGACGGGTAACCTTTATACTATCTCATAGAGGCAATGATGTATTTTTTGACTCCGGATTTCCTGCACCTACCCACAATATACTATCCCTCGTGAATTGGGAACATCTCCTCATGCATAATACTATGCGGAGGATGAGATGTTCTCTATGTATGGCTCCCATAAACATGGGCAGAGTTCTTGTGGGCAGGAGATCCAGGCTCGTGTTTTTTCCAATTGCAGAATATGGGTTCATGAATTGACCCTAACTAAATCTTACAAGTCTGATTTAACAACGGAAACTTTAAAGCCTATTTGGCAAGTCTTTTTGAGAAAATCTTCTTGTAACTCTAACAGTCAAAAGATATATTGTGCTTTTAAGTTGACATATGATCTAGGTAGTGAGAAGACCATTTGGTATGTGCATGTCTTTCCGTGCGTCGTTTCGGGTATTTTCACACGAGATCAAAATGCAAAAGACGTGAGAAGCTTCATTTGGAACATCCCAAAATCAGCCCAAAATAAGCTTCTCGTGTCTTTTCAGCATCCCATCTTTTGGCGGCTAAATCTTCCGCGTGTTAAATGGAAATAAACCAATTTTTAGTCTTCTCAACTTATAAACAACCGAAAGACCATACGGAAAAACACACCAAACGAATCCTTAGTCAATTCATAAACAAATATTATTTTTAAGGTGTATACATCTCTAAACTTAAGGCTTTGTGTTAAGTTACATACTAACTAACCAATGATCGAGAATTCACCAAAACTCATGAGGTGGTTTTGACTGGCTATACTCTCAATCAAAACCACCCCGTGAATTTTCATGAATCCTCATATTGATTAGTGATTAGTCTACAACTTAACACAAAACCTGATTTAGTCATTTAGACTCATTTTACGGTCTAGTAATACCAAAACCCACAGTATTTGTTATCAATGGATCCCGCTTTAGCACCAATCCCTAATTTCAAATATATTAGAATATATGTTGAAAACTCCGAGTAAAATGATTTTGTTTGTACGCATTTATTTGTAATAATATTAAAAAAAAAGCAAAAGGGGTAGGAAATGTCCATGGACATTAGAAGAACATGAACAAGTTAAGAGAGGAAGGGGTAGGCAACCCCTGGTCCCCTGGACTCTGTTTGGTTAGAGAAAAACAAAAAGTTGGCAGGAAAGAAAATGAGCTGGGCTCAGCATATATATACTAAGAGGGTCGGGCCTATGAATTTAAATATTAAGGCTGAATTTGGAAGGAGTACAAATGCAAATATGTAGAGTGCAAAGCCTTATATTTTGTATTATTTTGCATGTATTTACGTTGTACATATTTGCATTCGTACTCATTCCAAACTGAGCCTAAATACATTTATTAAGATATAATGGGTTTGACTGTGATAGTGAAAAGATATGAGATCAGAAAATCTTGTAATCGATCGACTCATATCATAAAAGCGGTAATTAATGTGGGATTTATCAAGATTCATGGGGGGTTTTGATTTGTTAAAATTCTTTCAGTATCATGTCTTTTTGGAAGCACTAGTTGAGAATTCCGTGCGATGCATGGGTGAAAATAAATGCAAAAATCAATAATTAAAAGCATAATTAAATTCACTAATACAAATCAAATATGATAACAAAAATTTAATTTGGGATGAAAATATGGTATTGACCTCAACTTGGAAAGGACTTGGATTTAGGTCTTTAGTAGCTACAATCTAATCCAAACCCATATTGGCATTTGGCATCCTATACCTTGTCAATTATCTCACTTGTTGATGATCATATCCCACTGCCACCAAGGTTAGCGGGTTAAGGGGATGGGGGATGGGCTACCCTCATTTGTGTAGCCCTATGAAACGTAAGAAAAAAAAAAAAAAAACTTTTAATCAATGGTTTTGGTAACAAGATAGAGACACTATAGAATAATAATATTTTGACTTTTTAGTGAAATATAATATTTTCACGTTTGATTGGGGCATGACTTTTTAGTGAATATAATATTTTCGCATTTGATTGGGGCACTATGGAACTTTTAACCTCATGAAAACTTCCCCCGTCTATATTTAAGTTGAAACTATTAGAGGGCCAAAAACATTTCTTTATTCTACCTAACCATTTTTAACTAGAATATTGTTATGGGAGATCTAAGTAATAAATTTAAATGTCAACTTGAAAAAAAATCCAACCTTAATAGGTAATACAATGTCTAAACTATTGAATTGTAGTAGCTATGGTCTTCGGAATATCTTTTGTCCTCTTCCTCAAAACACTCATCACCATTACTCTCCCTCCAAAGATTAGTTATGATCTTCACTTTCAAATTCACTTTTTCTATTAATCTCTTTCCCTCACTCAAATGAAAATGCCTTTGATTAGTTTGTTTGAATGTTCTTAACAGATTATAACTCAGAGCTTTTGGGTTTAGGTGATGAAATGGGGTATGTCTTTCCAATTTATACCACTGGTTAGGCATTGTATTCATCTTCTAGGATATCATCAGTTTAATAAAATGATTTGATTTTTTTTAACAATGGATCATAAAACAGATCTGAACTTTTATTTTTTTTGGTAACTAAACAACATATCAAAATTTAATCTTGCTTTTTGCTTCCAAAACCATTCAGCCACACCATCCACGCCTTCGTCTTCTTAGTTGTTGGTTATCTTCCTCTTCACCGATGATTCTGCTACCCTGGTAAGGAGAGGGAGAGGGCTAAGTCCTGTTTTTAAGATTTTTAAATTATTTTATTTTCTTCCAAAAGCATATGAAAGTTTCTTCCCGTAAGTAGTTCTTGCTTTTCTTTTTTATATTTCACTTTTGATCAAAATTAAACATTCATATAATTTTAATTATGATTCCTTCTTTGGAGAAGATATATTTTTTATGGTCCATTGAATGTGAAACCCCTTTCTAGAAAACCATAACATGATTGTAATATATAATTGAATCCTTCTTATTGAGTTTACTACTATCTTTCACCCATAGCTAGAAAAAGTATCCAAACAAACCCTAAATTAATATTAAGCCCATAATAGGATTCTTATTATCTAATTAAAATTAATATTAATTCAATAAGAGGTGTCTTTTGTATTCTTTTCAAGTTTTGGTGTTTAGATGATTTCACATGCACTATGTTAATCCTAAGTGAGGTTCATGAATTTTTAATTTTTATTGTAAATATCAGGGTGAATTTATAGAATAATTGATTGATATATCATTTCAGCAAAAACATAAATAAAGATAAATTATTGGTTATGGGATCTCCAACCACCATTTAGCAGTCATTATATGTCATGTGTGTAATTGGTTATAGGATCTACAACCATGTTAATAGTTTGCATTCTCATTTTTTATGTTGGAAAAACTGTGATGGACATTATATGACCTCATCTTCACTATTTATAAAAATGAGGATGGTAACAATTGTTTAGTCAAAAATCCTGAAAAACAAAAATAGTAGAAGGTAAAAAGGGAAAGTAAAATCAGGATTTTTTACTAAGCAATTGTTACCATCCTCGTTTTTATAAATGGTACAGATATTGATTGAGCATATGGACAATCTAAGTAAGTCCCTTGAGAGAGAATTTACAGTTAGGCTACAACATCTGTCCACAAGCCTGAAATAGGTGGATTTGTATGCTAGCAAAGCTCCATATAAGGTCTGTCCATGTACATGTTTCTGGTGCAAGGGCACATGTTTATGCATGTGAGAAAGTAAAGATGAAAGAGCAAAAATGTAAGTTAATCTTGTATGAAATCACTCTTATTAAATTTTTATGATTTACATCAAGTATTAACTTTATATGATTTACGGCTAAGTTGTGGGTCACCAGTTTAACAGTCCAAGGTGAATTGATTATATATGTATATATATGTATGTATATATAAATAATATTTCATTTTTAATTATACAATAAATTGCAGTACAAAGTTATGAAATCCCAAAATTTATACATACATTGATAATATAACCCATGGCCCAGTGACAGATTAAGTGGGTCAATAGTTCCACTGCCCAAATCGGATGCCATTTGATGAAAATCAATAATTTTGATAATTATTTACTATACACCACGTGAGAATGTGTGATACTGTCCTCAATGAATGAATGAATGGACCGACTTGGAGTGAGTGGCTGGGCAGTTTTGTTCTTCTTGGTTTCAGTCTTTATCTATTTGACACTTGACAGGGTTGCGATGCATCAGTGTTGATTGCATCACCAAATGGGGATGCAGAAAAGGATGCAAAAGATAATTTGTCCCTTGCTGGGGACGGCTTCGATACCGTTATTAAGGCAAAACAAGCTGTTGAAGCTGTGTGCCCAGGTGTGGTATCCTGTGCCGATGTCTTGGCCATTGCCGCCAGAGATGTTGTCGTCTTGGTAAACCCACACCCCTCCTCTCTCTCTCTCTCTCTCTCTGATCTCCAGCTTGCTGGCAGCAATCAACTCCATGTAAATAATTAACATCCTCTGATGCGAATGTAATAAACTAATAATCAGGCAGGAGGACCATCATTCAACGTGGAATTGGGACGTCGTGATGGCCTCATCTCTCAGGCATCACGAGTAGATGGCAATCTTCCACAACCAGAATTCAACATTGGCCAACTCACTTCCATCTTCAGCAAGAACAACCTCAGTCTAATCGACATGATCGCGCTTTCTGGTGCCCACACCGTTGGCTTCTCCCACTGCAACCGTTTCGCAAAGAGGCTTTACTCCTTCAGCCCATCTTCCCCGGTGGACCCTTCCTTGGACCCAAACTACGCCACGCAGCTAATGGCGGAATGCCCCCAGAATGTGGACCCCACAATCGCCGTTAACATGGATCCTGTAACCCCAAACAAATTCGACAACGTATACTACCAGAATTTGGTTGCGGGAAAGGGGCTATTCACTTCCGACGAGGTGCTCTTCACCAACCCCGCCTCCCAGTCTACCGTAAAAGATTTTGCTTCAAACCCCTTCAACTTCAATGCAGCATTTGCCACGGCCATGGTTAACCTGGGCAGGGTGGGTGTGAAGACAGGTGCGCAAGGACAGATTAGGAGGGACTGTACGGCTTTCAATTCTTGACAATATCATTAATTATGCTTTAAGCCTTTAACAAACAATAAGGCTCAAGACTCCAGAGAACAGGGCGTCGCTGCAGCCTGCAGGACTTGTCTCACCAACAAAACCCAAAACTAAACAATCAGCAGCTACTGTGCTATTATGATTTACAAATTATGGGTGTTATGACTTTGACGGAGTCGGAGTGTCACTGTGTTCTTCTCCAATAAAGTTCCGCTAGATCTGTCTTCCCAAATTCAAATTGTCGGTTGCCTGTCATGATCGAGTTGTCGTAGATTCTTTGCGGGTATGATGGGTATGTGTTTTTTATCAAATCAAATCTATTCTTTGTTTACACTAACAATTAAGTAGAAAAATATACTGCTGTAGGAATATAATTCCTCTCCGTGAGTTCACTTCTGTTCTGACCCCAGACGGTCCAATCAAATACTGCTACATTGCCCATCTTTACCTGAATTACAGTGTTTATCAAAAAGTCTACACTGAAAGAACAAACCAGTTGGGTGATTCACCAAATTCAACGACCTTTCAATTTTAAAATGCGGTAGTATTTATGCTTTTCTATAAGACAATTTCTATTGATGCCGGAAAGGTATGAAACAGGAAGAGATTTTTTATCAATCAGAATCCCCATGAAAATTTCCGAACGGGATTTCCTACTCACTCTCTACCCGTTGTGAATGAATTGCAGTCACACATCTCTATCCCTCGTGAATTAAGAGATGTGTGGCTGCAATTCAATTCACAGTGGATAAAGTGCGAATAGGAAATCTGGGTTCGAAAATTTTTGCAATTCTTCCTAGTTTCTAGGCGCGTCACTACCACAATTTTTTAAGTATTCAATGAACGTGCTTGTAATTTCGTGCTTACTTCATCTGAATCCTTTCGAGTTTTACCGTCAATAATTACGCTTCAAACCAGCCTCGGAAGAAGACGTCAAAACAGGTACGCCAGGACGATTTTACGAAACTTCGCATAAATCCCGCTCTGCTCTCACAGAGCATTCCTCACACCTTGCACATAGGGAACATTTTCTATGCTAGCATGTTACTAACTTATTATTCATGGAAAATGTTTCTAAGTACACGATTGGATATGATTGTGTGATTGTAAGGTTGGTGTGAGGGGTGTTCTGTAAGTTGTAAATCTCAATTCACTCCGCTCCGCATTTTTCAGATTTTTTATGGCTAGACCTCAATACTTTTAAAGTAGAGTGTTAGTGTAGAATTAGGTAATGCAGAACCCAATGAGGAAAAAAAAAAGGGATTGTATAAAACCCATCATTACTTTTTATAAATTCTCCTAAATTTATCATAACTTTTTAAAACGTTCAAAACTCACCGTGTCCTTGACATTTTATTTTTTAAAGTTGAGGAGAATGATTAATCAGCCCAGATCAGAATTTTATAGCCCCAAAATACAAGGGGAATGCATCCCGCCCAAATTCACGGGCAGGATGTGATTTATAGGGGGAGACGGCTAGTAGTAGGGGGGGCTAGAATTCAGAATTCTGCATTGTGTGTATTCCATACTTCTCCGTAAACTTTATAGGCCCAATTTGTCCATGTCAACATACTTTTTTGCTTTCAACGTCCCAAGCGTTGTTGCTCTCAATGTCTAAGGGTCTTCTTGCTCTCAACATCCCAGAGTGTTCTTGCTCTTAATGTCTAAGGAAGGGTCTTCTTGTTCTCAACATCTAAGGAACCTCTAACCAGGTATTTCACCTTCATTTTTTTTTCATTTTTGCTTAATTAGGGCACTGGAAGAAATCTGATTTTACTGCACTCGTTTCTACCTAGAGAATCTAATTCTACACTCGCCTTCAGACTTCTCACGAGACCATAACTCTATCTGTACCTCAATCCATGGCTGTGAACACAATGAGTAAATAGGTTTTTTTTAGACTTAAAGAGTAAATAGCTATGTTCGGACTTCTCACGAGACCATAAATTTCTATCTTTGAAAGGTATCCTGAGATGGACTTCTGATTGTTCTTCTCAGACAAAGGGAGAAGCAGCGACAATGGTGAAGTTGCAGCAATGGGTTTTCTCTTTCGTTCAGACAAGGTTTTGGGTTGAAGAATGACGAAGGTGTGCTGTTGGTTCCGTTCTGACTGTTCTTCTTCTCAGACGATGGGAGAAGCATCGGTAATGGGATTTCATGTTCTCAAACGGGGGGAGAAGCATCGGTAACGGGATTTCATGTTCTCAAACGGGGGGAGAAGCGTGGCAAATGCTGGTTTTCTCTTTCGCAAATGGTTCTGGTCCTCTTCGTCCTAATTGGCATTATCTTAGCCAACATTTTCCCTCTCTAATGGCTTAGAGGTAACCCAGGAGAGAAAGAAAGAACACAGATATTCAACTCTTCGAAGTCTACTTCCCAACAATCTATGCCGGAGCGAAGAAAGCCATTTCTGGCCTACTAAGTCAGAAGACAAACTAGTGATGGAAATCTATGCTAGAGCCGAATAAAGCCATTTCTGGCCTACCAAGTCAGAAGACGTGATGGAAGCCTCTAAACCCAGCATCAGAAAATCACTCCACAACTGCAAGAAATTCAGATTCGTCGTCTATCCGGCAATCAATAGAACAAAACCCCTATGATCAGTGCATATTTACTTCAACAAAAGTCATCTATTCGTCTTTAGGTGGTCCGACCTGTTACAATTGGAGGAAAACCAAAAGCAAATATCTCAAATCTCACAAATACAACTGATGAGGGCAGATTTGGCCCTCCAGTGAAATTGTGACACGTGACAACTAGGCAAATACCCAGGCAACAACTTACCAAGTTGGTGTCCCACCCGGGCACCGGTCTGACCGGCCTGGCGCAACCTGCACGCGGCCTGTGCGACCTGGCTGGATCAGCCTGGCACATGATCCGACCTGGCCGACCTAGCTGCCCATAAGACGCCCACCGATGAACCATAACGGCATACCCCGCGAGCTCGATAGCTCACCAAGTAGCTCGCCTAGGAGATCGGTAGCTCACCAAAGAGCTTGCCAAGGAGCTCGCCACCAAGGAGCCAGGCAGCTCGGCAAAGCTCGCCACAAGCAGCTCGGCATAGCTCCCCCGGGCAGCTCGCCACTTGTAGGGTAGCTCGGTACAGAAGAGTAGTTTGGTGTATCGTAGGAAGATCTCCTGCCTGACAACCTAGCCCAGACACTGACCCACCGACTGACATAGGCGCCGACCTGACAACCTGGCCCGGACACCGACCCGCTGATTGACACAGGCGCCGACCTGACAACCTGGCCTAGGCGCCGACCTGGCCGCCTGACACAAGCGCCAGCCTGACAACCTCGAGGAGTTCACCACCGTACCCCGGTTCTGACGGGATATGACGATTCTTACCGTTTGAAGGCTTTTCATCCACCTAACCCGCGAGGGCACCACTATATAAGGACTCCGACCCCCAAAGCCAAAAGAGGGGAAAAAAAGGATGGTAACCCCTACTCTCTAGCTCTCTCATTTCTCTCCAAGCTCTCTGTAATCAGAATACTAACTTAGGCATCGGAGAGTCCCCGCCGGGTCCTCTGATTCAGTTCTCGCAGGTCCCTCAGCTCCCGTCGCCTACAAAGGAGAGGAAATCACCTCATGCTGAGGGTAGTCGGGTTGCGCTGCACCAGGGAGCTCCACCATCCTCTGAGTTGCAGGCCGCCAAGGAGTAGGTCAAATGACGAGTCCACCAGGTAGTTCGCCACCAGGCAGTTCGCCACCAAGTAGCTCTCCACCAGAGAGCTTGCCACCAGGCAGTTCGCCACCAGGGAGCTCACCACCAAGCAGTTCGCCACCGGGCAGTTCTGCACTAGGGAGTTCGCCACCAAGCAATTCTTCACCAAGTAGCTCTCCAACAGGGACCTCGCCACCAGGCAGTTCTCCATCAGGGAGTTCGCCACCAAGTAGCTCATCACCAAGGCACGTCACCACCGGGTCAAATAACGAGGTACTTAGCCAAAAAATATTATACATCACAAAAAATGGTACGTGACCAGAAACAGTTACATCAACAACCAAAATGTCAGAAACCAAATCACATCGGGGATCTCTCTGACCACGAATTCAGAGGAATAAACAACCAAATCTTTAATGAAAATAACAATAAAAAGCAAAGAAACATTTCTCTCTCTCTCTTTCTTCTTCTTCTATAAGAATGCAATGAAGAAGAAAGAAGAGGAGGAAGGACTAGGAGAACAAGAAAATGAGAGAAAATAAAACGAATGGCCAGCAAATGGATCATGGACCCAGGAATAACTGAATGGGAGTTGCAGTTCTGGAGATCGAGAGTTGCAGCATTCTCCTGCGCCATTAGTGAGTAAGAGAGCAAGCATACAGGAGAACGAAGAGGGGTAATTTTAGGATATTGCAAAAAGGGTCGAACATAAGAAAGGGTAAAATAATAAATTAGTGACGTCTGTTAGTCAAATTACTGTTATCTCACTAACATAACATTGTGAGTTTTGGATGTTTAGAAAAGTTATGGTGAGTTTAAGAGAATTCATAAAAAGTGATGGTGGGTTTTAAACAATTTCCCCCCAAAAAACTGAAAACTTAAAGAATCGTCAAAAGCATTTATGTCTTTTAATTTTCCATTAATCTTAGGGAGTGTTCTTTTTTTGGATTTTGGTTGAACATAAGAAAGGGTAAAATAATAAATTAGTGACATCTGTTAGTCAAGTTACTGTTATCTCACTAACATAATATGGTGAGTTTTGGATGTTTAGAAAAGTTATAGTGAGTTTAAGAGAATTCATAAAAAGTGATGGTGGATTTTAGACAATTTCCCCCAAAAAAATGAAAACTTAAAGAATCGTCAAAAGCATTTATGTCTTTTAATTTTCCATTAATCTTAGGGGGTGTTCTTTTTTTGGATTTTGAGAGGGGGGAAATCTGGTCAATGAGATTTTGGTTCCCATTGACCAAGAATCCCATGTTTAATGGTTAAGTACTTTAACAAGGCAAATTTAAAGAAATTTGGTAAAGTAATAAACCCTTTTTTATTTTAATTATTTGTTGGTGGGTGAAGAGTGAAGACATCAATTAGTAGCAAGCCTTTAGCGGGTTGGCCCGATATTTTTTGCAGTTAGAAACTTAGGGTCCGTTTGGTTCGCAGTCAGAATCGGAATCGAAATCCTCTGGAATCGGAATCAGAATGATCCATTCCCATAATCTGTTTGATTCAGACAGGAATGGGAATGGGAATTAAAATCAGCAGGAATGGGATTTCATTCCCAAGGGAGGGACAGGGAATGGCCATT